AGAAATCAAACGCGAGGATTAAAGGATGAAGACTTCATATCTATGTATAAAGTATGTATCAGGAAGTGTAGCCTACTAGAGGCGTAGTATAGGGTGAACTTGAACCTTTGTGTAATTGTTTCAAGAAATAATATAAACCCTAGTTTTGCTAACTGATGTGTTGAATTATTGTGTGATTTTCTTGTATGGTGACTTGGTCGATTGCGGGACAATACTTGGGACGAGTATGAGTAGGTGTGAAAGGTAGTAGATGCATATACTACCGAAAGCACATGACTCACACTTGGATCGGGGAAAGTCACAAGGTTACCAAGAAGCTAGTAATTAATTCCGTTTTATTCTGGTATGTCATTTACCATTGTTTCGGTAATGACTAGTAAGATGGTTGTTATTCCAACCCTAGTGGTCATGTCCAATTAGGGTCTGAATACCGTGAGAATGTTACGGGGTTCAGAGAACCAAGTTCGATGTAACATTTGACGTAAGTCAGAAGATTGAAGTCAATGCGATCATTGGTATCGCGCTCGTTGTTAAAAGCAGTTTGCAGATAGAAATGCTACATGCTGAAACATGATTATATCACATTAGAATATGAAGGAAAGTATATTCCATTCTGGAATTTGACTCTAAGAGACTTGAGTATAAGCGTTGCATCATACGATGAGAGGTCATTAGAACACGACCCATCGGTTTGTTACAATAGATAAAGGAAAGTACTTATCCTAAGAAGAAGAAGAAGTCATCAATAAGGACTTAATTGATAACTCGAAGGTTATGATTGAAAGTCCAACATACTACGAAAAGCAGATACATGATTGAGCATCGTCTTCGGTCGAGAAGCCCTAGAGTTAGATACTCTTTCGAGGAAACATAGAAGTTACGGTTATTACCTAGGATGAAGAGATAACGTATGGAATCATTATACAAGCCCTATTTCGTTGATGATTCCGCGACGTAATCATCCTAAGGGGGAGATAATTGTAAAGCCCGTAGATCCGGACTAGTTAATTTAGAGACGATAAGCGTCAAAAATGACTTTTTGATGGAAGATTATTTAGAAGGAGTAACCTTAAATAAGTTGTAGTATATGTTACAAGGATTTCGTGCATATAAAGAACGCCGAAATCCGAGTTATAACGAAGAAGTTATGACCCGTCGAAGTTTCGCGATAAACCAGACACGACGCTGAATGACGTAAAAAATGAATTTATGTTAGAGCAATATTTAGCCTTAGCGATCTAAACAAAAGCTGTAGAATACATTAAACTGAAAGCGTGCATAAAAAGAACGCCCAAATCTAACTTCGTATGAGGAAGTTATGATTTTTCCGAAGTTTCGACTTAGCAGTATGCAACCAAAATCCTCGATTTGAGATCAAGTGATTTTTAGCCCGAAACAATCTAAATAAGAATCGAATATCTCATCTATAGTAGTGAAGCGATAAAAAGATAGGCGGAAACGGACGTCAGATGAAGAAGTTATGAATTTATAACGGAGTTTTCCTATCCCGGCCTACTAAAAATAATATAAAAGTTATATATTTATAATATATTAAAAATAAAGTCAAAATTAGCCAACGGAGTCTGAATGAGAGTTGTAGAGCATATTCTCACCTACGGGTCGATATAAAGAATGTCGAAAACGGACTTCGTATGCGAAAGTTATGAATTTCTGAAGTTCGGGGCGCGAAACCCCAAAACTGTCAGCCACCACGATGTGGTAAAAGTGCCACGATGTGCCAGGAGCTCTAGAGTCTGTTAGACCCACTTGCAATGACACATTCAGTGATGACCCATCAACCACGATGTGGTAAACTGTACCACGACGTGGCAAGGGAAAATTTTTCCCTATAAATAGATTTGAAGGGCCAACCGAGTTTGGGGTTGCTCCAACTCCTCTCTCTCACTCCCGATACCCTCCATAGTCATCCCGAAGTACCCCCGAAGCCCCGGTTTCCTCCCGAGACCCGAATCAAGTCATGAAGCCCGAAGATCCCGAGAAGTGAGATTCCCGAGCCGAAGCTCTACCCGCGAGAAGCCCGGTTTTTTGTGAAGATCTTCCAGATCTACCGAAGAATACCTCATCTACAAGCCGTAATGCTGTCCGATCATCTTCTGATCAAGTGAGTGTGTGGTCACTTTCTTCTAACACATAAATATTAAGTATTTGCTATGAAATATGTGCTATGTGTATAATATAAAGTTGTTTATATGTGTGAGTGTATAGTCCCTTTCATAACACGATTTTAATACAAGTATTGTTTGAATGTATTAAGTATATGTTTTGTGTGAGTGTGTGACCACTTTCTTCTAACACATAAATATGAAGTATTTGTTATGAAATACATGCTATGTGTTTATATATTGTTGTTCATTTGAGATGAGTGTGGAATGGATGTTTTCTATAGTTTTTAAATGAGTTAAACTGTATATGTGTTTTATATCTACAAATATGTTGGGTAGAATATAGGTAGATGAGATAGTTGGTGTGTGATAAAAGTATGAGTTGGATAATGAGATAAGATGTGATATAGATCTTAAGATAAGGGTGACAAGTGGAAAATGAGTGAAACCTTTACCCAAACGATGGCCCCCGTCATTCAGCAGAGTAGGGATGACAATCACATACTATTCTAGACAGTCAGTGGAACACTAGCAGGCTCGCAACTTGTAGGTGTTTGTGAACGATGTGTTCACCGGTTTACTCTAAAAACCCATTGACATGTATTGCGAGAGGGATCTCGAGAATGATACTATCAATAAACAACATAAACTTGTTATTAGATCTGGGAGTATAGATCAGATCAGGATTTAGGTTAGTAAATTGTCCCTAGTCCGGGAGTATGGATTGGGCACAGTTTCAGATCCAGGAGTATGGATCAGACCAAGAGGTTAGTTTTAGATCCTAGAATATGGATCAGGTGAAGAGATTAGTTTTAGATCCATGAGTAGGGATCAAGTAAAGAGGAAAATTTTAGATATGAGAGTTAGATCGTGTCATTGTGGGGATCGATAGGGTAGGATAAGAGTTGTTTTTATATAGTGAAATTATATAAGCTTGTGGGTTCTATATGTATATATATATATATATATATATATATATATATATATATATATATATATATGATATAATATTGTAGGTTGAAAACCCTATATGCTCACCAGGCTCCCAAACCTGACTCACTCAGTTTTCTTTGTATCACATGTATCAATACGAAGACATATTTCACTAAGAGATTAAAGGAGATGTAAATCACTAGTGTAAATAAATGTATGTTCTGTTTATGCTTATGTGTCTGTATCGGAACATGAGATCCCAAGATTTTGTTATATAATCAAAATACATTTATTTAAGAAATGCTTTGATAAATTATTATCATATTTTGTTTTGAGAATAAATTCCGCAACCGTTTTCTTTGAAAGATCACTCTGATTTTTAAAAATAAAGCATAAACAAATCGGTATTTTCTGGCCGTGAAATTGGGGATGTCACACATGTCATATTCTCCTTCATTTTGACACTTGTCATTTTCTAGATTTTTTTGAATTATTTAATATCCACTTGTCATTTTTATAGTTTTTTTTTCTTTTTTATTCAAATCGCACATATTAAATGTCATCTCATATTAATTAATTTTATAAATATATTAATTAATGTACATAATAACTTTCTATTTTTAAATTCCTCTTTCTATTAATATATTAATTAATATATATGTATATTAATGTAGATAGTACAATCCACTTGTGAATTCATATTAATTAATTTTATTAGTACAGATTAATTAAGACAAATTACATAAATAGTCCATGCGGTTTACCAAAAGGTCATAAACTCAATCGTTACTTATTTTTTATATGAACATGATCCTTATGGTTATCAAAACTTTTTTTTAATAAACTCGTATAATATACGAGTTTCACACCTAGTATCTTAATAAATAAGAATGATTTTGCCAAATGTTTTTCTTTCATTTAATTGACAACATGTAATTTTGTTATAATTTTGAGATATATTTATTTTCCACTTGTCATTTGCTTCATTTTTCATTTCCAATATATCATTAATTTAGTTTCCATAAATTAGACCTACTATAATGACTATTAATTTCAAATTTGAAATTTGAAATCTAAATTTTAATTTCAAATAAATATATAGTTTGAACCTTTGTAATTAACATTTTATTATAATTACCCTGTTTAGTACATTGGTCTGACAACTAAATATATAATTTAATTTATTTATTTTTCGCATTTTTTTCTCAAAATTTTCACTTATTATAGATTTAAATTCAAATAGACTCCTCATTTAATCATTCATATTTAACATTTGTTTTAATCAACTCGTATAGTATACAGGTCTCACAACTAGTATATATTAACAAATTAAGGTTTAAATTTGGAGGGCCTAAGCTCATGCTTAGTTTTGCAAAAGGTAGATGCGGCCCTAAAGTTAAGCCAAACATTTTTTTTAAAACAACTTATGGACTTTTGTCACTATATTTAAAATTGTATAAATACACATTATATATATATATATATATATATATATATATATATATATATATATATATATATATATATATATTAAATTTATCTTGCCTTAGCTACAATATACTGCCTTCTCTTTTGTCTCATATTACTCTTTTATTTTCCTGGTTTTGTCTTTACTTTCTTCATTCTATTAATTTGTCCCTTATTCTCCTTCTAATTCTGTTTATTTCTCTTTACTTCGTTCTTTTATTTTTTCTTCTTCCCTTCCTTTTACCAACATGGATTACTGACAAAACTTTCTTTTTTGTACGTGTCTTTTCCCCTTTTGTTTGTGTCCACGTGTTACTTTCTTCTTTTTCCCTCTTTCTCTTTCGTTCAAGGTCCACCGTTGTTTCTCTTCGTCATTCCTTCTTTTTGTTCCACGTAACTTCTCTCTATTCTTCATCTATTTTCCCCTTCCGTTGTTTTTTTTTAATTCTTCCTTCTGTTTTCTCCATCTGTCTTCTGATGTCTCTTCCGGTCAAACGGAGACCTCCGCTTGATGCTTCCTCCTCTACTGGTCAGTCTTGTAAGTCTCAGCATCTAGCATTCATTTTTGGTCTTCCTCAATACGTTGATTGTGGTTACTGTAGTTGCGTTTGTCAATTTTGTGGTGCATATTTCTGGTACGTTGAAAGGGTGCTTAAGCTTTCCACGCTTGGTCATCTAAGGTATAATCATTGTTGTCGGGATGGGGGTGTAGTGCTTCCTTACCCTTCTAGGGTTGCCCCTGAATTCGTTGGCCTCTATCAAAATGCACGCTTTTTGAAGGACATTAGGGCCTATAATAGCATGTTTTCCATGACTTCTTTTGGGTCGAATGTAGATGAAGGTGTAAATGATAATCGGGGTCCCTGTGTTTTTAAAATATCGGGCCAAATTTTTAATAGGATATGATCACTGTCTTCGGATCCTGCAAAGGGACCCAGGTTTCTTCAGCTCTATCTGTTTAATACAGAACACATGGTGGAGAATAGATTTAGGGCTTTTGATGGTCCTAGGAAGAGTGATGTAGATTTTAATATCGTTCAGTTTCTGGTAAGATTTTTAGGGGCTAATAACGAGTACGTGTGGACCTTCAAGACCACTAAACTTATGGCCGATGAAACTAGTTTAGAGTTCTATGCAGTGCGACTATTTAACAATGTGGTTGATCGTAGATATGAATTGCGCTCACCTGAATTGCCCTTAGCTGGATCATTGGGTTGCATAGTAAGCAGCGATGATAAACCCTACACCACATATGCCATTATTATCTTTTCACATTCGAGTCGGCCTCAACGAATTAGTAAACTGCATCCGAGCTATATGCCTTTACAATACCCACTTTTGTTTCCATATGGAGAGGAAGGTTGGTCGCCTCGCTTGAAGAAGGGTAATTAGAGAGGAGTCATTGCAAGAAACCTTACTGTCAATGTGTATCATGCATACTATATCCATGGTCGATAGCATATCTGGTCTCCTATTGTAAATGCCTCTCGCCTGTTCCAACAGTATTTTGTTGATGCATACACATGTATAAGAGAAGGACGGTCAGACTACATCATCAACCATCAGGATAACCTTCGGTTCGATTATGTTAGTGGCCTCCATGACGCCCTGTCAAAGGGGGACAGGAAGACAAGGCGTCGTTGGCAAACATGTCTTCTTACCTGCGTCATTTATTGGTGGACCCCGGTTTATGTACAGTCATTATCAAGACGTGCTTTCAATATGCAGGGTCTATGGCAATCCTCAGTACTTTATCACATTTACATGTAACGTCAAATGGCCTGAGATGACCCGCTATATTGAAACACATGGTCAACCAGATGTCCACAGTCGAGCGGATATCATTGCTAGAATCTTCCACATCAAAGTTCATGAGTTTATTGGCTTTCTTAAATAGGACAAAACATTTGGTGGTGTTGATGCATGTGCGTCTACGTTTCCTTTCTTATATGTATTTCTTCTGATATGTTCACTGTTTTGGTCGACGAGTTTTACATTCTATTTACAACTACTTAAATTTCCATGCTATTAGAGTGCTAAAAATCTTACATATGACATATTGTATTCACTTCACAAAACTTATATGTGTTTCTGAATATTCCCTTTTGTTCATATCTAAAAGTGTGTTTGATTGAAATTTTGGATCTTTCCTAATTTACCCATGTGTTTTGTATCATACTGCTTCCATCACAGAAAAATAACATCCGCTTAATATGCTATTTTTTTTATCCTTTCCTAATTTACCCCTGTGTTTAGTATCATACTGCTTCCATTTGATTCACAATGTGATGATTTATTCCTTTTTTTGTATTGAATTTTATTGTTGTAGTTCTCTATGAAAAAGTTTACTATTTGAAGGATTGGCCATCCTATTATTGCTATTTCAACTGTCCTACTGATTTCTTTTTTGTAATTTTTTATCATTTCCTACACATTAAACTTTTCACATATACCCCTTTCATAAAATAAGTTGTTGGATACTCTCATGCCCAAACCATATGTCTCACTGATTTACATAATCAGTCCCCATTAATTTAATTAATCTCTTTTGATCGTTAAATTAATTCCAAATTAATTCTTGAACAATATTAATTAAATAATATGATTTCTCAATTAATATATTATACTTATAACATATTAATAAATCACAAATAACCTCTTTCTCAAATATCCATCATGTCAGATTGTTCTGGTGAAGGTAACCCAAAATAGACCATGTTACTCTCGGGTCAAGTACATATCAATTATAGTTATGGGCTTAGACACTTAATTCAACACAAATGGCATTTTCCGGTAACAGGAAGTGCCACGATCGGTATGAAAGGTCGTTTACTCGTCTTCTTTTTTCATTTGAACTTGGTGGTAGCCCTTGTAGGCATCGAGAAAACACTTGAACAAGAATCCTTCTAAAGATTCAACCTTTTGGTCTATCTTTGGGAGGGGGTAGTCATCCTTTGGATAGACATTATTCAAATCAGAATATTCAATACACATTTGACATGATCCATCGCGCTTCTTCACCATTATTGGGTTTGGAATCCAAGTAGGAAAATTGTCGCCCGGAGGATGTCTGCATCCACCAGCTTTACCACTTATGCGTTGATTGCCTTGCTTCTATCGTCTGCTTGCCCCCTCTTTTTTTCTTGATGGGGGTGCTCCTCGGAAGAATATTCAAGTTGTGCTCAATGACCTCGTGATCGACTCTTACCATGTCCTATTGTTTCCATGCGAAAACCTTTAAATTGTTCTTCAAGAGGGAAACTATTTTTAGCTTTGCTTCTTCTCATAGGTTGGCACATATTCAGTCTGTTTGCTCCAGGTAATCTGGATGGATGATGTGCTCTTCTTTTTGGCAATCGTCCTTTGACTTTTTTGGTGCTCACACTAGCTCTGGTGCGATTATAACTTGGTGTAAGTGTTGTGCTCGTAGGTTAATGATAACTATTGTGACTGAACCAATATGCGTGCTAAACTTGACAACACCATGGATTGTTGATGGTATGGCCTGCAGTTGAAAAGGCGTTGGTCGTATGAGCAAGATGTTATGCTATGTTGGGAGGGGTATCACGAAATATTTGATCGTTCGCATGATTTTATCCCTCCCATTATGACTGACAGGGGTAAATGGTAAATGTATGGTGCCTAACGGTCATAGGATGTGCCCTGTGAAGCCTAAATGGTCTGCCTGTAGGGGGTTTAATCCTTCCTTCTAGGAGGTGGGTAACTTCATAAAACAATGCTCATACAGTCTGTTCGTGCTGCTACCATTGTTTATATAGACACGGTAAATTTGTGTTTGGCGTATGTAAGCAGTGATTAGGAGTAGATCATTGGGATCCCAATTTGGTGGTCTTAGGTCATCAATCGAAAATTTGATATTAATTATGTTGCCACATAATACCTCAATGTCATCCTTTGCTTTGTAGGGCTCTCCCCTCTTGCGTGGCCTAGAGATGGTGAAGATGTTGTTCTTTTTCTCTGGGCGCTTGTCTGCGTCTTTCTGAGCTCGAGCATTCTTCTGATTGTAATCGGACTTGGATCTCAGGTCCTTTGCGATATCGAAGAGGTCCCCTTTTAGCTGATTTTCTTCAATATCTTTCTTCAACACCGTGCACTCGCCGGTATCGTGAGTTTTTCCCTTGTGATACTCACAATACCTGCCCTTTTTTTCCATTTTTGAAGGAGTTTTCTCGATAGCTTGGAGATCGATTTGGTGGCCCCGATACTCGTCTTTGCCAAACAGACAATTTTTTCGAGATGGGTGTCACGAGTGTCGATTATGCTTGTCATGGCCTCTGTCCTGGAACTCTCGATAACTAGTGTTGGGACAAGAGACTGCTTCTTCTTGCTTTATGTATACATTGGCAACAACTTTTAGATTGACTTCTTTTCTCTCTTCACCTTTGATCTATCTGAGATATTTCTTGACTCTATACTTGAGCTCGTCTCTTGACTGAGGTACCATACCCTGCATCTTCTTTGACAAAAGGCTAGTTAGTAGACCATGGGAGAAGACACCGGCTACAAGGAACTCCTCATGACCCGAGACTTTGAGCTTCACTAGAGTGAATCTATCGTAATACGCCCTTATCGAATCTCCTTCCTTTTGATTTCATGCCATTATCGAGTTTAGATCTCCCTTCCCCCTCGTTAGTTGTAACATCCCGAAATAAGGTATGCATTGATGACCCTAACCTTTTATGCATTTGTCAAGGCTAGTCCTTATTTAAGAAAGGGTGGCAGCTGAGTACTTCGGGCGTACACGTGTGTACGCCCAACATACTCATGTGGTTGCATGGATGCAGAGGCCACCTAGTACATTGGGCGTACTAGAGGGTACGATGGGCGTACTAGGCTCAGAGTGTAAACCCTAATGCCTTGTGTGACCCTATTTTAGGAACATGATGGCCTTATTTCTAACCACCATTTCCAGCCTCCAACTTCCCTCAAACCTTAAATCTCGTTTCCATAGTTTGTGTGAGTGCTTGTGCCTTATTAAGTGTTCTTGTGGATTTCTTTTATGAATGAGGAGTCTTGAAGGAAGGATAGTTGGTGTTCAAGCTCTTGGATCTAAGTTCTTCTGTTGTTGGTGCATCATCTAGAGGTATCAAGCTTGATACTTGCTCATTGTTTAAATTAGTTCATGTTTGGATCCATTTATAGGGTTTTATGTCCCAAGCTTGAAGCTTTGTGAGTTTGATGAACTCCAGAGCATAAATCATGTCCTTATAAGTGTATTTGGATGTTTAGATTCATACAAATGGGAGTTGGTCGTCTTAATCCTTTCATGCATGAGTTTTGTGGACTTATATGTTAAGAATGTTAGATTTTGTGAGTTTGGGACTTTTTCAGCCATGCTAAGGCTTAAAAGTCCACGACTTTCTGGTGTAATGAACCTTATTCAGCTTAGATCTATAGTGGTAGTAGTTGTCTTAACGGATTAAGACCAAATAAGTGAAAATGAAAGTTTGGGGAGTACGACGTGCGTACTCCCAGTTATGCGCAATGTAGCACTGAGTCAACTCCGATGCATGCATGGCTAGTTGTACGCCCAACATAGAGGGTTGTACGCCTAGCATACTCACTGGGTGTTGACTTTTAGGCTTTTGTCCAATTTATGGAACTTTAACCAAAGAGGAATGTGATATTTACCCTCTGTGATTTTGTAGAGAGAGTCGGTCTAGCATTCAGAGGTTATTAGTATGAATTATTAATTAAAGTGGAATGTGATATAATTAGGCGGAGTTAAGACCGACAGTTTAGGTGTGAGGTTGTTTACTTTCCAGCGAGAGGTGAGTCTTCTCACTATACTTACCTATGTGGTAATTTCTGTGTGACCGGAGGGTCTTATTCATTTTCTGGACCTGAGGGTCTTAACTGTATGACTGACCAGAGGGTCTTATCTATTTATGTTTTATTTTGCATTATCTTTGTGACATATGTTATTATATTACTTTATGTATATGTTGAGTTGTGACCGGAGGGTCCATATTGAGATGTGAGACAGGAGGGTCCTCACTGAGACACATGACCGGAGGATCCTTATCGGGATCAGCCACGAGAGGCTAATTATTTTGTACATATGATATTGTGAGGAACTCACCAACCTTTGTGCTTACAATGTTGATTAAATGTGTTTCAGCTACATCACAGGACCGCAGGAAGGCACCGACATGATTGTACACAACATCATGATTGTACACACCAGCCTGATATTTAGAGTTCTCGAGGATTCTGGGATATTTGACTAAGCTTCCTAATAATTGTATTTGAAAATCAGAAATTAACAAGAGTTAATGCTATGAACTTTGTTTTGATGATTTAAAAATGAAAAAAAATGTTTGAAAATTTTGGTTGTTACATTAGTTGCATAAAATTGTTAAGGAAAAGGT